AGGCCCAAGAGGCAGGGCCGGCTAGGGGGAGGTGATGCAGGAAGTTGGCCAGCCAGCTCCCGACACAATCGGGGTGTTGAGGGGCCATTCGGGGGGGGGGGGGCTGGCAACAATCAGTTGGCCAGCTGGCCCTGCCCTCTGGTCAAACTCCCAGTAGAGGGGACAATTTACATATTAGTCTTTTGTTATATAAGATTATTATATAGGATTGCTCCTTAAAAAAAATTATCATACAGTAGAATGAGGCAGAAGACACTCAACTAAGAGTTTTATGTAATTACATTTGAAAATACAAGTTTAAGTTTTAAACAGATTAAGTAAATATGGTTTAAGGGGGAACACTAGAGACTTAAGAAAGTAATAGTTTTTCTGTACCAACTTTTAAACAAATATTTTAGTTTAAATGAAAGAAATTTTGGGAAATCATCCAACAATAGATAATAATCTAGAGTGAAAGAAATTAATTCAGGAATTCAGACAAACTAGACATATTTGAGGTAAACAGCATTTAAATCTCTGACTACCCAACTGGAATAGAACTGAAGAACTATAAAAGAACAGCTAATCAGACATATTTCTAATTATTTGCTCTTCTGTACAAATGCAAATGTCATTCAATTTAAATGAACATAATATAATTATTTTAATTTTCTAAGACTAAATTTAGGGCCTTTTAGGATGCTAGAATAAACAGAGTCATACCAGGAGAGGTAAAATTAAAGTTATAATGTATGGAACCTACTTAACATGGAACTTCCTAAATTCGGGCATTTTACTCTCATTTCTTCATTAACAACTTTGTGAGGCAACTTACCGTATTTTTCGGACCATAAGACGCACTTTTTTCCCCCCAGAAGTGGGGGGGAAAAGTCCCTGCGTCTTATGGTCCAAATAGAGCCTACACATATACTTTAAAAAAAAAAGTTTTTTTACTTGCCCGGCTCTGTGTGGTCTCTGTGTGCTTGCCCGGCTCTAAAATGGTTCTAAATGCTGCTGTTTACTTTACAGGGTTGATTACATGTGTTTATGACTGTGATGTTGGGTTTTAATGCACATAAAATATTTTAGGACACTATTTGTTTCAGAATCTTTTTTTCTTCATTTCCCTTCTCTAAAAACTGGTGCATCTTATGGTCCGGTGCGTCTTATGGTCCGAAAAATACGGTAATCATCCCAGTTTTATTGATAAGAAAACTGGTTTAAAGAGATTTAAAAATTTCTGGCTCCCAAAAAAATGAATCTGTCCCTGGCCAGTGTTGCTAAATGGATAGATGGTCTGCCTGCAGACTGAAGGGTCATGGTTCGATTCCCTATCAAGAGCATGTACCTGGGTTACAAGTTCAATTCCTGGTCACTACTGTATCAATGTTTATCTCTCTCCCTTTCTCCCACTCCTTCCTTCCTTTCCTTCTCTCTCTCTCATTGCCTTCCTCCTTCCCTCCCTCCCTTCTACTCTCTCTGAAAATCAACTGGATGAGGATTAACAAAAAAATATCTTAATATTCTTTCACTGTACACACTGTATGCTGTCACCTAGCAAAAAACACCTACTTTAAAACTGTCAGTCTTTTAATTAAAATCTCCTAAAGGAGGAGATAATGTCAAGGTTATAGTAAGTGGTGATGATGTATAGACTAAAAATTAGTCATGCTTTAATAAGTGTATATGAATGTTTGGGAAATAATTTCAAATCATGCATGACAATAAAATTTTAGAAGCTGAATATATAATATCCCAAAAGTGAAGAAATCTAAAAATTGTTATAGAAAGACACTAAATAAACTTCATCTTACCTAATTTCTTAAAATTTTTTACCTAAATATGAATTCCAAAGAAAAAACTCCAGAGGCCCCATGCTGTGTCAGCCATAAAACAAACTCATATGAGTAACTAGGACTATATTTATATTTATGAAATAAGATCATTGCTTGGGTTGGATTCTTTTTTTCTGACTCCAGTGTGTCCTCTATTTATTCCTTTCCAGTTTCCTTCCAGATCTTGGAGCCTTCTTCTAATTTAGGGTAACTGAGTCTCAAGTTCAGGAAGTCTTACAGGTTTAGATGCAAGTGCAGATATACTGCAATGAAAGCCATAAAATTGCATTGATTGGTAGTATTACAAAAAAAATTTTTTCAGTTATTTTCCAACACATCAACTTTGGTGGAATTATCAGTGACTTTTCTATAGTTTTACTAAATTTATTTTAAAGCATTTAACTTTTATAATAAAAATTAAAAAGGAAGAAGAAAAGGAAAAACAGAAGGCAGAGGGGGAAACCTAGAGATGGACTTAAAAATATCTAAGTATCTTATTCTTTCCAAAGTTCCAAAACTATGACCTGCTTGTTCCCTTTAATCCCTCAGTAATATGGTAAATTAATCACACATAAATATGTCAAAGACAAGTGAGATATTTTAAAAATGCATTAACCCAAAGGTCTCTAAATTCTATAGGTTTTAATTGCAATAGTTAAGAAATTAGTTATGAAAATGATATATGAAAAATGATTCTGGGGTAAATTAAAACTAGTAAACAGGATTTAAATACTTAAAGAGTCCATTACAAAAAATATTCTTATTCCAAAACCACATATTTAGATTGATCCAATTTATTACGTATGTTATCAATGCATTGCGTAACTGGTAGCCCCTTGGACCTCTCTTCAAAAAAAAGATGCTTATTTAAAAATCAGGTACAAAAGCAGAATCTATTAACATGGGAGTCCAATTTTAGAACAGAACTTTATTTGTGTAACGAGTTCATTAGATACTCACTTTTTCTGATTACCAAAGTGCAATTTATTCATCTGATTTACAAAGATGATGACTTCTTACTCACAAGCTTGCTTTATAATAATCTCATGGAATAAAACTGCTAGAGGTTTTATAAACACTATTTACATCTACAAATAGAAATAAGTACCCTACAATATTTTGGAATGATATACAGTTACGCTGGTTTTCTATTTGATCACTTCAGTTCCTCTGTTCCTTATATTCATTATGTAACAACTGTCTTAAAAATGTAGGTATGTACCGTGTTTCCCCGAAAAAAAGACATCCTCCGAAAATAAGACCTAGCGCATGGAAAGATAAGACATCCCCTGAAAATAAGACCTAGCGCAACTCTGGGAGAAAAAATTAATATAAGACACTGTCTTATTTTCGGGGAAACAGGGTAGTTACTGAACAATTCAAGTTTTGTGCGACTGGAGGAAAGATAACGGCAAGTTTGAAATGGTCACAGACCATAGTTACCTAACAGTTGAAGATGATCTGGAAGTGATTTTTCTAACCAAAAGCCTAGACTGTTTCTTCCAAATCACTGACAACAACCCTTGAAGTATTATAGAACAGAAGCTGCATTAACTGGCCCCTGCATAATTGTACATGGTATGGTATATGTTTTATGCTGCTAGCCATCCGTGTGGAAGAGAAATAGATATTCAACAAAGGCCTTTCACGGAAGAAAATAGAGAAAACATTTCCACATTCATGGAAGAAAACAGAAAACGTTTCCACATATGCCTATGTAGTCTCCTAATACCTTCCCAATACCTTTGGCAACAGTTTCCTTGGTTCAAGAATACTGGCAGAAAACTATTCCTAGATTACAAGAGATATACTCAGCCTTCCTTTGCATTATGTGGCTCTTCATAAATATCTCTCTTAATACCATATAGATGAACCAAGGCTACAACACAATGAGGTGGTGGTTATTCTTTGCAATATTTTGTTGTATTTAATCCTATTCCCATTCCATAGGTTGAAAAGCATCTTCTAGTCTTAGATCGCTAAAAATAGTTTTGGTCTATTCTGATTGATTTTTACTTTCTACTTTTAGACACAGTGACTCCGTTTGAGAACTTTATTATTACCTTAAAATACCTCAAGGAGAACAGTATACTACCCCTCTTAGAGCCGTGGATGTCAAAGTGATAGTGAGACCACCATGATGACAGGCAGCTTCTTACCAATTAAAAAAGATTGAGCCTTCTTTTTAACCATAAGGCGAATGCATATCAGAGGCTACAAGCCTTAATTCGTTTTTAGAGCTGGGATTGCACAGCACTAGGTAACGTCACTTAGGTACAAAGTAAAAAGGGACAACTTCACAGCTAACTCCTTATCCTTGGTGCATGAGGTACCCCACCAGGCGGTACCCATATCAACCCAAAGAGCTTGCTTGAGAGAGCTGGTGCTAAGGGGAATGCCGATGGCAGAAAGCTGACCCCAGGGTGCCCCTCGGCACCTCCTCACCCCTAAATGGAGAGATCGCTGCAGAAGTGCCCTGGCTGCAGCAGCTTCACACTTAATAGTTATCTCTGTGGGGTCACCTCGGGCCCAGAAAGGACCCGGGATGGAAGGTGAGGGGCGGAGGCAGGAGGTGAGGAAGCTGACCTGGTGGGGAAGAGCTGCGGCGGGGAAGGGGAGGGGGTTGTCAAGGGAGACTGCAGGGCCCCAGAGGTAGGAACTGGGGAGCATCTAGGGGTCCGGGTGGCCGCCACCGATGGAGGACCGCGCCAGGGGAGAAGCTAGGAGGATGCGGGCGCGATGGGCGGTGCCTGCGGGCCCCCCGCCACCTCCCCACACCCCGCAGACCCCCGACCCGGCGACGGGGCGGGGCCGCGCCGCCCGCCTGCACCCGCCCCCTCAGGCTCCGGCCCCGCGGGGTGGGAGGGGTGGGAGGGGCGGGCCTCGCGGGGCCGGGCGGGCAGCGCGGCCCCAAACCCGGGGCGGGAATGCTCCGCCGCGGGCGCTGCCGGAGGAGCGGGAGACCCCGCAGCCTGGGGCGGGAGGGTGGGGGTGGCTGAGGGCGTAGGAAGAGCCTTCGGCGGCGCTGCCGCCGCCGCCGCCGCCCGGACAGAGTCGCAGGCACCCTTCTGCGGACCGGAGCGTGGAGCCCCCGTCCCCAGCCGTCCTTCCCTCCGCTTCCCCCGTCCCCCGGCGTTGCCCCGGGCAACAGCGCCCGCCGCCCGCCGCCGCGTGAAACTCACTTACCTAGAACCTGACAAGCAGGAGCCCCTCAGCCCCCGGAGCCAGTCACCACCCCGCGTCACGGGGACCGCCTCGGCCAATAGGCGCCGCTGTCACGAGTCCCCGCGGCCAATCCGGAGGCGCTCCGGTCTCGGGGCACCTCGAGGCCTCAGCCAATGGGCGCCCGCGGAAGGCGGCGCTGCCGGCCGGTCCGCAGCCCCCTCCTCCACCGCCTCCCAGGAGGTGGGGCGCGGCCGATTGGCCCGGGCCCTGGAGGGTGGGACTCGGGCTCCGGGCCCGGGGGGCGTGCGCGGACCCGGCGGAGGGCGCGGCTAGGGGAGGGGGCGAGGGGGGCGTAGGGCGCGGCCGCCGCCCTTGGGGCCCGCTCCCCGGGCCGGGGTGGGGTCCCGAAGGCCTCCTGTGTGCGCGGCCCGCTCGGGTCCCGCAGCCCGCGGCTCCGGCGGGCGTCCCGGGCTGGCGGGCGGGAGCGAGGGCGGGATGCGCCCGAGGCGGGCGGCGGCGGCGGCGGCGTCACAGGAAACTTTGAGAGACTCGCGGCCGCTGCCGGGAAGTGGCCCGGCCGGGAGTGATAAGCTGGGGCCGCCCGCGAGGGACAGACTGCCCCTCGGATCGGCTGCCGGAAAGGAATTCGGAAGGTGGGGGCGGCGGAGGCGAGATGAAATGCTCCGTGTGCCCGCGGGGGGCTGCGATCTGGGGGGGCTGCTTGGAGATCGCGGACCCCGAGCCCCTAGCCGCGCGCTCTCCACCTCCAGAGTCAGTCCCTTTTTGCCCTAAGTTTAGCTTCCATCAGCTGGAACTTTAGAATGGTTTTTCAGCTTCTTCAGAGGATGCAATTCCTTAAACTGGATCTTCCTCACCCTGTAACTCCCGCGCCCGAGACTCTTTTAAGACGGGTCCCACACTCAGAGCTGGAGCGGGGATGGATGGACGCTGTTTCACAGCGTCCTGGGCTGGTCCCGACAATAAAGGTTCTTACCTCTTTGAGAGACTTAGAACGCGTGAGGAACCCACATTGGTTTGGTCTTCCAGAGAGACTGGAGCGTCCTCCACCAAAAGGATTTAGTAGAAACTGAGTAATGCCAGCTAAGGAAGATAACTAGCTGCTCCGTAACAGTATGATCGGCATTAGTCACTATTCGAGGGTGTGTTCCTGCAGCCGACTTTTTAAGGCATTGTATCATGCATGCACTTCGGTTGAGCCACATTCTTTGCCTGGAGCAAATCGAACTTCAATCCACCTCATCTCCACGCTACTACACCCCTTGAAAACATGTACGTGGGAGCCAAACAAGACGGGGTGACTGTTTTTTTCTAAACAGGGTTGTTTATTTGACCACAGTGCAAGCCCTATCCGTAGGAAAACATACATTTTAAATTAGACTTTTCTGATCTGCCCTTTCCAAGTCAAAGAACCCAAAACATGTAAAGACAAATCAAGTTTTAAAGTAAGAGACTTAATTTTCCCATTGAAGATGGAGGAAGAGATTTCCCTTCTCAGATCGTTTACCTTAGAAAACTTGTAATTGTTGAGTACTTTTAATCTCTTTGAAGTAAAGATACTATAGTAAATCTTTTTTTTTACATATACTTTTATTGATTTCAGAGGGCAAAGGAGACAGAGAAAAACATCAATGATGAGAGAATCATTGATCAGCTGTCTCCTGCACACCCACACTAGGGATCCATCTGCAACCCCTGGCATGTGCCCTGATCTGGAATCCAACCATGATCTCCTGGTTCATAGATAGACCCTCAACCACTGAGCCACAAGATAAATCTTTTTGATGACTAAATAGGTCTTCTATCAGCTAGTGCTTTGTCAGTTTTACTTCCCAGGAATGAGCTATCTCTTTGAATGCATGCAAATATTAAGAGAGGTAATGCCCATGGATGAATAAAGAAAGGTGGTATACATATACAATGGAATATTATTAAGTCTTCCATAAAAAAGGAAATCTTGCCAATTATGACAACATGAATGGACCTTGAAGTCATTATGCTAAGTGATACCAGTCAAAGAAGTACAAATACCATATCATCTCACTTATATGTTGATTTTTTAAAAATCCTCAATCAAGACTGTCTTCATTGATTTAAAAGAGAGAGAGAGAGAGAGAGAGAGAGAGAGGAACATCCATTGATTGCCTCTCCTATTCACCCCAATCAGGACCAAAACCACAACCTAGGTACTATATGCCTTGACCAGAAATTAAACCTACAACCTTTCAGTGTACAGGATGATTCTTCAACCAACTGAGAGCATCACCAGCCATGGTTATATGTGGGATTTCTTTTTTTAAACTCATAGATACAAAGAAGAGATTGATGGTTTCCTGAGTAGGGGTTGAAATGGGTAAAGCAAGTCAAAAGATACTATTAAATTTTGTGGTATATGGCAATATGAATGAAATAAATGAATGTTTGTGTATTAAATGGTTAAATAAAGCCAAAATGCAACTTTGAGGATTGCTTCACCAAGGCATATCATTTCCAAGAACCTCGGAATTTCTCAGGATTATCTTTATACAAGGAACTCTAAATCTGAAAAGATGTACTTGATAAATTAGTTTTTATATAGTCCCAGAAAGTAGCTTTAAATAAAAGCCTGATGCCCTAGCCAATGTGGTTCAGTTGGCTGAGAGTCATCCAGTGCACTGAAAGGTCACTGGTTGATTCCTGTTCTGTTCCGGCTCAGGGTACATACCCAGGCTGTGGGTTCACTTACTAGTAGTGGTGCTTGTGGGGGGAGAAGAGGAGCAGCAGATGTTTCTCTTTCCCTCTCCCTAAAAATCAATTTTAAAATATTTAAAATAAATATATGTCTGAAGGTAGTAATAGACTGTTTGATGTACATTGTGTATGTGTTTTAAAGAACTCAAATCTCTGAAAACAGTAAGAATCTTTCCAGTTCTTCAGCAGTTCTCTCAGTTCTCACCTATTCATGCAAGAAATGTAAAAACTGTCTAGCATATGCCAAGCACTGTGCTAAGAAATTCAATTTTGAATGAATGTACTTGAAGTAAATGAATGTGGCAAAAATCTATGCTGCATTTTTGAAACTGATAAAAAAAATTATAGCAAATCCAGTATAAAATTTTCCTTCTGTTATAATCACTTTGCATTGCAACATATTTAACAAGAACTTTCTTTCACCTGATTTTAAATATACTGTGCAATTTCCTTACATCTTGTAAATGTAGGGAGAATATGGAAGAATAAAGGAAAATAATTTCTTGTCTAGATGATCCATGGGCTTCATAAAATACTAGTTACTCCCACAGGGCCTGGAAGGATATTATTTCAGTTGAAGTTGTTAGCATAGGATTTAAGAAATTCATCTTCTAGCATTAAAATTTAGATCTATACTGGGTAGGTACTATCACAGCTGTTGAAATGCCACAGTACTGCCTAGCTATAGACAAATACTAAGTCCTTAATATATATTCAATTTTCCCAAATACCAATTTTTGTTTGTTCTATAATAACGTTACTTACCTGGACAAATTAATACAATAACGTGGATATCAAACATTAAGCAATTAGTAAAAAATGATTTCAAAAGTTCTTTTTTTACCCTATCTCTCCATCACTCCACCTCCCAATTTTCCTATTTAATCATTTTTCATAATAGGCTTCAAGAGAATCTTGGCTGTGTGCCACTGATTCATAGCATAATTATCCCTCCTTTTTCTTTAATCTACATTTCTTCTTTTTTTTTCCCTTTCTGCCAAGTCCTTTGCTTTGTGACTTTCTGCTATCTCTAATTCACAATTCATGCCTAACTCCTAAAATATAATGATGAAGTATGCAATATGGAAATCATACCTATCCCTATTTATTTCTAGGGGCATTTTAAAGAAAAATAATTAAGTTTGTTCTTACTTCAAACTCTCAGTTTTGTTACATCATGATTGTCACTAAGAAGAAACTTAGTGATGATGCAAAATGAAGGTTCTAAAAAATTTAATTCATCAGAAAATAATTAACCTAAGAGGCTTACTTCAAATATTGTGATAAGAAATATCTTAGCAACTCTCAAGCTTATAATAAAGTATTGTACATCTAATCACTATGCTGTGCATTAGCTCTCCAGGACTTATTTATCTACTAGTGCCAAATTTGCATCCTTAAATAACATATCTCTAGTCTTCCCTCTGCCCCTTTTTCTGGTAGCCACTATTTTACTCTCTGTTTTAAACAGTTTGGCATTTTAGATTTCCCATTTAAGTGATATCCTACAGAATTTGTCTTTTTCTATCTGCCTTATCTCGCTTAGCATAGCACCTTCAAGGACCAGCTATGTTGTCATAAATGTCAGGATTTTCTTATTTCTCATGTCTGAATATGTGTGCGTGTGTGTGTGTGTGTGTGTGTGTGTGTGTGTGTGTGTAACATCTTCTTTATCCATTTATCCATTAAGAAGAATGTAGGTTGTTTCTGTACCTTGGCTATTGTGACGAATCCTGCAATAAACATGGAAGTGCATATATCACTTTGATATCCTGTTTTCCTTTCCTTTGAATATACACCTGAAGTGGAATTATTGGATCAGAAGGCAGCTCTATTTTAATTTTTTGATGAAGATCCATATGTTTTCTATAGTGGCTGGACCAATTTATATTCCCACCAACAGTGAACGAGGATTCCCTTTTCTTCTAAGCCTCCCGTTTTCCTGATAACAGCCATTCTAACAGGTAGGAGGTGATATCTCCTGGTGGTTTTGACTTGCATTTCCCTGATGATGAGTGATGTTAAGCATCTTTACAAGTAACTTTTAGCCATTTGGATGTTTTCTTTGGAAAATAAAAGTCTAGTTAGTTCCTTTATCCATTTATTGATTGAATTTTTTGTTACTGAGTTGTATGAGCTATTTATATATTTTAAATATTAACCCCTTATCAGCTATATGGTTTGCAAATATTGTCTCCCATCAGTAGGTTGCCTTTTCATTTTTTTATTGTTTCTTTTACTGTGCTATATAGTTTAGTTTATATAGTTCTACTTATTGAACATGCTTATACTTTTGTTGTTATATTCAAAAAAATTATTGTCCAGACCAATATCAAGGAATTTTGCCCTATGTTTCCTTCTAGGAATTTTATGGTATTAAGTTTTATTTTTAAACTAGGGTCCCAGTGAACAAATTCGTGCACCTTGAAAGGATCTGTGGGCCATGAGGCTGTGATGGGCACAGGGGTGGGTCTTGGCCCCGGCCTCCAGTGTCCTGTCTGCTGGTAGATCCAATCCCACCACCGTGGCTCCCACATGCTGAATGCTCTGGACCCACTCATATCGGCTGATGGTGCAGAGCTATTGGGGCTGGTGCCAGCAAGGATACAAGGCTGCTGCCCTGATAGCCTCTCAGGAGTAGGGGGAGGTGGAGAAGCCCTGAGGGTATTTGGGGCCACCAGCTGCCACTTGCACCCACTGACAACACCAAGCAATCAGAGCCAATGCCACACGCAGGCAGCAGGTGCGAGCACCAGACAGAATGGTGGTGCAAGGGAGCAAAGAATTTTCAGTAACCACCAGAGGCTCACCCCAATGACAGCGACCAGCACCACACCTTGGTCTGGTGCCTCCACTCACCTGCTTCACCATCCCACCACGGCCAACTCCTGCCACATTCCATGTGCACCCTCTGGTAGTCAGCACACGTCATAGCAACTGATTGTTTGATTGTTCTGCCACTCAGTCTATTTGCATATTAGCCTTTTATTATATAGGATCTT